GTTTTGGAACTTTAGGATCAAGTTGTTCGTCTGCGTGTTTTCGTTTTGCAGTCAACAGTTTGATTAAGTTTCGACACTGCAGTAGGTTCACTTGGGTTAGTCTGTGTGCAAGCTTGCGTGGAGCATTCTGTGTCGAGTGGAGTGGTGATGTTTTGATATGGTGTGTGTGTGTGTGTGTGTGTGTGTGTGTGTGTGTGTGTGTGTGTGTGTGTGTGTGTGTGCACTTCTGTGAGATTATTATTCCCCAAGATGGAACTATTTGCTGACAGACAAATTTATGTGACCTGTGCAGCCTCCAAATTACATTCATGGATTACGTGAGAGGTTGAGCTACAGAGTGCTGATGAGCTCACGTCTGGCCTAATACACTTTGTGGCGGTTTTTTAACAGCCTCTATTTCTGGTTGGTATTGTTATTGTTTGTTATGAATAGATCTATATCTATAACGTGCTTTTTATTTATTCTTTTAGGGAGTTTTGATGGTTGTTTTTTGTCCTGCATCCTGATTTTAGTGCCGATAATTATTTGTAAGTTAACGCGGAATGCATACGTATGTCTGTTGTTTGTCTGTCTGTCTGAATGTCTGTCAGATTATTTATTTGCATGCCTGTTTACAATCATGTTATCTAACTGCACGAGCCCTCATAATATATATATAGCCTATTATATATAGTATAGGGCTTACGCCAGTCAAATTAACCTGTTCTAACGACCACCTGTCCAAGACATCCACCTGTACAAACGACCATTCCCACTCACCTCATTGCGTCCAAAATAGATCACAGTGGTCGTCGATTCGCCTGAAAACCCAGTTATTGGGAAACCAAAAAGCGGGTTCTTAAGCGGACCGAATTTTTAGTGGAATTTCAAGAGGCACAACTTCTGCTGTTTAGCCTCCTCTAGTAGTACCTTCCTCTGTTCATCCCTTGTTGAACTATGACCCGTTGGCAATCCTGGTACGTACGTAGTTTGTTGACCCAGTGCGTGATAAAGACGTATCTAAATCAACACTGAAAACCACACATTACAAAGTTGATCGACCCAAGTCTACAGAGCTCTTTTGCGTTTTAGCGTCGTTCTTTGTAAGCTTGCTTAAAACCTGCAGCAGTGCCTACATTTTTCTGTCTGCTTTTCTACGACGCAACATCGTGCCTCCCCCC